AAGTCCCTGGCCACATAAAAACCTGCATGTTAGTGCTCATAATCACATTATTCATAATATTCCCAAAGTGGAAACAACACAAATACCAATCCAACGATGACAAGCGAAATGCGGCATATGCATACCATGGAATATTATTCAACCGCAGACAAAATGAACTTCTGATACATGACACAGTGTGAGTGAACCTTGAAAATATGCTGAGTGGAAGAATCAAATGTGAAAGTGCAAAAGTGTGCCGACTGCATAATCCCGTTGACATGAAATGTCTGAGATAGACAAAAACATGGAGAGAGAGACCAGCAGTCGCCAGGAGCAGGGTGAGGAGACGATACAGAGGGCCCACCCACGAGTTTGGGTTTTCCTGGGAGGTGATGAAAATGTTACAAAATTAGGTTATGGTCATAACTTCACAACTCCGAATACTAAAAAAAAAAAAAAAAAAAAAAAAAAAAAAACAAAAAAAAAAACACCTGAATTACGCATATTAAAAGGGTGGACTTTGGGGCTGGCATTGTGGCATAGAGGTGAGGCAGCCACCTGTAATGCCAGCATCCCATATGAGCACCAGTTTGAGTCTCTGCTGCTCGCCTTCCAATCCAGCTCCCTGTAAATGAGCCTGAGAAAGCAGCAGCAGATGGTCCAAGTGCTTTGGCACCTGTCACCCATGTGGGAGACCTGGATGGAGCTCCGGGCTCTTGGCGTCAGCCTGGCGCAGTCCCAGCTGTGGCTGTTTGGGGAGTGAACAAGTGGCTGTGTGTGTGTGTGTGTGTTCCTCAAATAAATAAATACTTATATTTTTTAAAAGATTTATTTTATTTATTTGAAAGACAGAGTTACAGAGAGAAGTAGAGACACAGAGAGAGGTCTTCCAGCCTCTGGTTCACTCCCTAGATGACCACAATGGCCGGAGCTGCACCTATCCCAAGTAAGAAACCAGGAGCTTCCTCCAGGTCTCCCACGTGGGTGCAGGAGCCCAAGGACCTGGGCCATCTTCTACTGCTTTCCCAGGCCACAGCAGAGAGCTGGATAGGAGTGGAGGAGCCGGGACTCGAACTGGCGCCCATAAGAGATGCTGGCGCTTCAGGCCAGGGCGTTACCTGCTGCGCCATGGCGCCGGCTCCATAAATTTTTTTTAAAAGGGTGAACTCTATGGCATATAAATTATATCTTTAAAAACTGTTTAGAGCACTTTCTCTCTCTCTTTTTTCTCTCTCTCTTCCTCTCTGTCTCTCTCTCTCTTTTCCTTCTTCGCCCCTTCCCTCCTGTCTGTCGGGTTTCCCCCAATAACCTCTTTCCCTTACTCTGGTGTTCTGTGTGTTTAGTGACGACCTTACACAGAGTCACTCCATCTTGTGTCTGGATGAGCTCTAGTCACTCCCTTTGTCCCTGAGTGTTCTCTGTTCTTTTTTCTAACCAGTCCCACAACTGCTATCCACTCACAAACTAGCCTTGTAAGAATCCTATCTGTAAGTGTAGAGTCAAAATCAAAATGGGGCAAGTGTGGCTAAAAGCTGATTGCAGATCTCCTGCTTCTGTACGTATTAGCTTTGCTTGCTAGTGGCTAAGGGTGCATCTTGTGAAACTATGTGGGCCCAAACCCCGAGTTACTGGAAAGCGCTAAGCTGGCGCATCAGATTTTTTTTTAATAAAAATTGGAGTATATAAAAAAAAACTGCTTAGAGAAAGCTTACTGGGGGGCCACATACTGTGCTTCAGTTAAAAAGCTGATTATAAATGTCTCAGCAACTCACTTTGTCACATTTGTGCACAAATTGTGGACATTTTATATAAATCATGTTTCTGACAAATGTATATTATTTAAATTTAAGTGTTGAAAGGATGCCTTCTTTTTTTCTTTTACCTTTTTTTTAAATATTTTATTTATTTGAGAGGTAGAGTTACAGATACAGAGAGAAGTCTTCCATCTGCATTTGGCTGGAGCTGAGCTGAGCTGATCTGGAGCCGGGAGCCAGAAGCTTCTTCATTCCCACGACGTGTGCCCACACCGCCCAGAGGACTGGAAGGTGGCCTGTCTGAAGAAGTTTGATGCTGAAGGGGTTGCTGCATTTCCTGGTCTGCAGACATTCTGTGGATAACTTTTTCGATCTGCCAGAGTTCTGGAAGCAGCAAGTCCTTCATTCCAGCAGGGTTCCGACAGGGTGGTCAGCCAAAAGAGGAAGGGAAACTGTGGACTTTCATTTTCTCGGTCTCTAAAATGTGTAGAGGTCTCTGGAATGACACCCGGGCCAGTGCTGTGGCTCAGCGGGTTAAGTTGCTGCACGCAGGGTGCCGGTTCAAGTCCTGGCTCTTCCACTTCTGCCCCAGCTCCCTGCTAACGTTCCCTTTTCCGGCTCCTCCGGAGCTCGGGGGTCCTCCCGAGGACTTCCTGGAGTGAGGGAAGTCCCCAGAGTGGCGGGGGCTTCTCTCAGCAGCAGAGCTGGGAAGCCAGTCCTGGCGGCACCCGCGATGAAGCCCACATGCACAGCCTTGGGTCCCTGCTGCGTGGACGGGGAAGCCAAGGTCTCACGTGTTCCCTGAATGTGGTTACTTCTGTCCTTACATCAGACGCGCCATTCCTGTGCTCTGGGGCCAGCTCTGGGGGTCCTAACTGATGTGATGTTCAGGTCTGCCCATAGCAACCAGGCTGCTAGCTGCAGATGGGGAAACAGGAGTGGAAAGGCGGCCATCTGCTGCCAAGGGTGATTCTAACATCACAGTTGTCCCTTCTACACCAAACCCACAACCTAGTCCTTAACACCCGGCCCTAGGTGCCCATGAGTAGGTGAGTCCCTCCTCCCAGACACATTGAGGGATGTCCTGGGGGAAGGAGGACCCAGATCCCACTCGACCCTCCGTCTGCACACGGAGCAGGCCCCCTAAGAAACATGCACTCGGTGACTGGGAGGCCAGTTGTCCAAGTGCCCAGTCATCGCGTGAGTATGTTGCCAAGACTGAAGAAAAGGGGAGAAAAGGGATAGGCATCAAGTCACTTTAAAATTGCCTTTTATTTTAGAAGATGCGTATTGGAAATGAAAGCAATACGAAAGTATAGAAATCGAAGTGAGATTCCCTGATGCCGCATCTCCCTTATCTTTCACTTCAGATATCTTTAGATGCATATCTGTGCTGTGTGTGTCATACGTATGCACACCTCCATCACAGGACTACACTGTGCAGGCACTGGCGGAGTGAACCTTCTTTCTCTCCCTTAGCCAAATAAAAATTTTTAAATAATAAATTAAATCCAAAAAATTATTGTGATTATTTTAAATAATTGTCCCCCCCCCACAAAAAAAGAAACCACACTTTATGGCTTGGAAAACCCTAGGTCAGTAGATGACCACCTGAGGCTGCCTCCCAACTTGGACTTTTTTTTATTTTTTTTAAGATCTATTTATTTATTTGAAAGGCAGAGTTAGAGAGTGGCAGAGGCAGAGAGAGAGAGAGAGAGAGAGAGAGAGAGAGGTCTTCCATCTGCTGGTTCACTCCCCAAATGGCTGCAATGGCCGGAGCTGTGCCGATCTGAAGCCAGGAGCCAGGAGCTTTTTCTGGGTCTCCCACATGATTCAGGGGCCCAAGAACTTGGGCCATCTTCTACTGCTTTCCTAGGCCATAGCAGAGAGCTGGATCGGAAGTGGAGCAGCCAGGACTCGAACTGGTACCCATATGGGATGCTGGCACTGTAGGTGGCGGCCTTACCCACTACGCCACAGCGCCAGGCCCAAAATTTGCTTATTTATTTGGAAGGCAGAGTGACAGAGAGGGAAAGAAGGAGACAGAGAGTTCTTCCATTTGCTGATTCACTCCCCAAATGCCTGCAACATGCAAGATTGGGCCAGGCTGAAGCCAGGAGCCAGGAGCTCCAGGGACCCAAGGACTCAAGCCATTGTCTGCTGCCTGTCCGGGTGCATCAGCCAGAAGCTAAATCATACAAAGAGAGAGAAATTTTCCATCCACTGCTCTACTCCCCAAATGCCTGTATCAGCCAGGGCTGGGCCAGTCTGAAGCCAGAACCCAGGAACTCCCTCAGGGTGGTGAGCACCCCCGTACTTGAGCCATCACTTGTTGCCTCCCAGGGTGTGCGTTAGCAGGAAGCTGGATCACAGGCAGGGTAACAGAGACTTGACCCAGGCTTTCTGATGTGGGATGTAGGTGTCTCAGACAGCAGCTTAGCCTGCTGGGCCACAACGTCTACCCTGAATCAGTATTCCAACTAATACACGAACTTGGCCAAGATCTAGGCCAGCAAGTGGGAGACCCAACACTTCCTCGCTTTCTGCCTTCTCCTCCATCACCTCCGGCCGTGCACCTTGGACAAGGAAGACGTCCTGGCCAAAAGAGAGCATTATTTAGTTCTCCGCCCTCTGATATATTCTAAACGAGCAATAGACATCTGAACACGGGAGTTCATTCTGACCGTTCTGTGTCTTTACCAAACGAAGCACACTCGAGCATACTGAAGGCTAAATTCTCTGGTGCTGAGCCTTGCTTATGTACAGTTTTGGGTTCTGACTCATTTTCCGTGGGACACAGTCTATTTGAGGGATGTTAAATTTACTGATTTCCCAGCATGTTTTCCCTGTAACCTTATACCCGTGCCTACCATCTTCCCGTCTTTATATAGCTCTTCCTGTTCATGCTAAGGATGGCAGTGTGCACAGCTGATATTCAGCTCATGCCCACTGCCACAAGCAGACTGGATGGTGATGAAATATTGAAATGCTTCCATATTTTTTGGCCAACATCCCACGGGTTTCAAGGCCTCCCAGCTTCCCTGGCCTCACCGGTCCCCTCATCAGCACCCCTGGAAATCTGCAGCACCCAGAAACCACAGGGAGCGCCCTGCTCTGAGACTTCAAACCCTCCTGATTCACTGGTGCCCTCTCCTTTTGATCACTAAATATTATATATATATTTTTTATTTTTAAAACATTTTTTATTATTTTTTTTTGACAGGCAGAGTGGACAGAGAGAGAGAGAGAGACAGAGAGAAAGGTCTTCCTTTGCCGTTGGTTCACCCTCCAATGGCCACCGCAGCCAGAGCACCGCGCTGATCCGATGGCAGGGAGCCAGGTACTTATCCTGGTCTCCCCTGTGGGTGCAGGGCCCAAGGACTCGGCCCACCCTCCACTGCACTCCCGGGCCACAGCAGAGAGCTGGCCTGGAAGAGGGGCAACCGGGACAGAATCCGGGGCCCTGACCGGGACTAGAACCCAGTGTGCCGGCGCCGCAAGGCGGACGATTAGCCTGTTGAGCCGTGGCGCCGGCCTATTTTTAATTTTTTATAAAGATTTATTTTATTTATGTGAAAGGCAGAGTGGCAGAGAAAGTGAGAGACATAGAAAGAGATCTTCCATCCACTGCTTCATTCCCCAAATGCCTGCAACAGCCAGGGCTGGGCCAGGCAGAAGCCGGGATCCAGGAGCTCCATCCAGGTCTCCCAGGTGCTTGGGAAGTACCTGGGCCATCTGCTGCTGCTTTCTGAGGTGCTGTGGTAGGGAGCTAGATCACAAGCAGATGGGAGCAGAACCAGTGCCCACGTGGGATGCAGTCACCACAGACTGTGCCACAACACGGGCCCCACCAAGTATTCTTAATGTTGTTTCTAGGAGCATATCTCGTCTGAGCCTTGCAAAGTAATATTATCAGAATGTGTATGGCTCCTCATTTCATGAATGCCTCGAAGAGACAGTCACTCTCAGGCTGCTATCGTCCTGAGAGCCTGGTGTCTTCTCAAAGACTCTGCTTACCTTCGTGACGCGAGGTGCACGCTGGGAATGTTCTCCCCAGGCCCTCCTTGGCACGCACACATACACGTAGATGCGCGCACATACACAACCTGTGCTACGGGGAGCTAAGTCAAGTTCAACACCATTCAAATCCACTCGCAATCCTTTCACCACTTTCCCACATACATACAAGTTCTCGGAATGAAAAGCTTCCTGTTTATTTACGATGTCGAATCACCGTCTCCACAGCTGAGGTCCACACTCCATATGAAGCCACATTTCTGCTGGTACTTGTGAAACGGAGCCCTGTGCAAACAAATTAAAATGCTTTTCTTTTCCACTCTTCAACAATTGTGGCATATAATCTATGCGGCTTTTGTTGTTAGCTGCAGGAATCTTACTTGAAAGTCATGTTAGAAAGCACATGATATGAAACATTTATCACATTGGCTGCATGTTTTCAACACAGAAAAAAAGCGACCATTATTGTTTTATACTCATCATTATGATTCGGTCTCTTCTTTTAATCACATCTTTTAATTCTGTCTTCCATGAGCTTTGTTTTAATATTTTAATATTAATATTTTGAAAATCACAGTTACAGAGAAAGGGATATATATATATATATATAGAGAGAGAGAGAGAGAGAGAGAGAGAGAGAGATCTTCCATCTGCTGGATCACTCCCCATGTGGCCTCAACAGCCAGGGCTGGGCCAAGCCAAAGCCAGGAGCCAGGAGCTTCATCCAAGTCTCCCACATGGGTGCCGGGGCTCAAGAACCAAGGCCATCTTCCACTGCCTTCCCAGGTGCATTAGCAGGGAGCTGGATCGGAAGTGGAGCATCTGGGACTCAAACTGGTGCCCACCTGGGATGCCGGCATCATCAAAGGTGGCGGCCCCACCTGCTCCGCCACAGCACTGGCCCCTGGTTACGTTTTAAAGTGCACGTGTGGTCATGCTCTCCTCTTCTTCAGATTCTGCTGGGGGGAGTTGCTCTCACTTGGCACAGGGGTTCACACGTCACTGGAGACACCCACATCACGTATCGGAACGTTGATCTGAGTCCTGCCCATGCCACTTCCAATCCAGCCTTCTAATGAGGAAGCCGAAGATGGGCCCTTGAAACCCATCTAGCAGACCTGGGTGAGGGGCCTGGCTCCTGGCTTCAGCCTAGTGCAGACCTCACTGTTGTGGGCATTTGGGGAGTGAGTCAGTGGATGGACTCTCTCTCTCTCTCTTTCTCTCCCCCCCTCTCTGCTTGTCTCTTTTGCTCTCTCTGTTGCCCTACCTTTCAAATAAATATTTTATTTAAAAAAAGAGGAACTTATGCTTTATCATAAGAACAATAAATTGTGTCAGTTTGAGGAAGTTGCCATTTATCTAATAAGAGTGACGCTAAAACAGAAATCTGTATTGATTGTAATTCTACATGGAACTATGCGAATGCCTGTTACCTCATAGACTAACCTGTGTTTTGTTTTCCAGGCCTAGAGGAGGAGTATTTATTCAATCATATTGAACTTTGAGGATGATGGAAGAAGTGATTACAAATACCAGGGATTATCACAATTAGCTCTTGGTAGTAGGTTAATTGGTATCCAGTTTTGTAAATTTAATGTCCTTTCTTCATTAAGCATACTATCAGCAAAGGTATGTGATGTGAAAATGTTCAGAGTATGCATTAGACATATTTTTTAAAAAGATGACTCAGTTAATTCGCTTTTTTCCTAACCTAAACATCATGGTGCCCCCAGTTAACTTTGCTGTAGTTTTAAAAATGGAAGTAAGCTTTAATCAAATCCGTCTTTCCATAGAGGTACACGGATATTCTTGTGTACACTTAGAATTAAACGGGGAATATGAATCTTAAACCTTAAAATAAATACTGGAATCTCATATAATGAACCATATCTCTTTAAATTTAGAAATCTTCTTTGAGTTTTCTATACCCTACATATCTGTTTGTATTTCTACTCTTCAGTGACAAAAACTCTGTATTTTTTAAGATGTGCTTATTTATGTATTTATTTGAAAGGCAAACTGACAGAATGAGACAGAGTAAGAGAGAGAGAGAGAGAGAGAGATCTCCCGTTCGCTGGCTCATTCCTCAGATACCCACAGCAGCTAGGGCTGCACCAGGAGACAGGAACTCCATCTGGATGTCCCACATGGGTGGCGGGGACCAACGTCCCGAGCCGGCTGCAGCTGCCCTGCCTCCCTGTGCACATTGGCAGGGAGCTGGACTGGAAATGCAGCAGCCAGGACTCAAGACATTTTGAGTATCCTGTCTGTTTACACTGCTGAGCCCATGTCTGCTGCTGTTTGGTATTCTTATGGAAACCATGGTTACAAGCATTCAGGGAGCGACAGCTCAGCATTAAAGCCCAAAAAGAGAGAGGGGCAGGGGCTTTCAGTCTGCAAAAAATGGATCAAATGCCTGGAGCTTTTTCCCAAGCAGAAAGTTGAATAAATTCCTTGCTGCCTTTAGTCAACAGGCCTCCACTCCCTAATTCTGAGCTCACAGTTTCTGAAGAGCCTAAGGCTTCAGAGGAGATAATTTACCAGGACTGCTTTTAGGGGGATTGGAAATTATGGGGCAGCACTGTGCACAGCAGATTAAGCCACAGCCTGCATCACCGGCATCCCCTATGGGTGTTGGATTGAGTCCCAGCTACTCCATTTCTAATCCAGCTCCCTGCGAATGGCCTGGGAAAGCAGCAGAAGGTGGCCCAAGTCCCCGGGACCCTGCACCCACATGGGAGACCTGGAAGAAGCTCCTGGCTCCTGGCTTCTGCCTGGGTTGGCCCAGGTCATCGCAGCCATTTGGGAAGTGAGCCAGGGGATGGAAGATCTCTCTCTCTCTCTCTCTCTCTCTCTCTCTCTCTCTCTGTCTCGCCTCTCTCTGTAACTTCATCTTTAAAATAAATCTTTTTTAAAACTGTAAATTAGACTGCCTGCGTTAAAAAAATGAAAGCCAGAAGACGATAGCGAGAGTTGCAAATACAGGTGCTGACGTTTAAGGAAAGAGTGGCGTGATGTCGATCTATAGAGGTGACTCCAAGAGGCAACCTCCAGCGATGGAGTTGCTGGGATGACGAAGTGGCCAAAAGAATAAATTTCTAGGTGAAAAGCAACCCCCCAGAATGGGAGAAAATACTCGTCAACCGAGTATTTAGAAACTCACAAGTCAACAGAAAAACAACCCAGATTTTAAAAACGGGCAAAGGGTTTTAATAAATGTTTCTCTGAAGGAAACAGGAGAGTGGCTAACAGACACAGGAAAAGCTGCTCCACACCACTTCCCTGTCTTTGGGAAAATCTAAGTTAAAATCACCATTAGATATGGTTTCTTACCCACTGGATGGTCTATCATCAGAACCCCACAAGTCTCCGGAGACAAAGAGTGGGTTCCGGGCTGCCCTGGGCAGCGGGAGGACTAGGGGGAAATGGGTAGTGATGGCTCTTAAGTAAGTCTTCTTTCTGGGGGTGTTTGAAGAGTGGATGTGGGGGTGACTAACAATCCTGGGAACACCCTAAAAATAACACACTGTACACTTTCAGTGGGGCAATTGTGGGAGAAGTAGTTCTCACTAAAATTTGAAAAAAGACAGTAATAAGTGCTAGCAAGTTTATGGAGAAGGTAGGAATGTAAACTGGTGTAGCCACTATGGAAAACAACTTGGCTGTTCCTCAAAAAAACAAATTCAGATTTACCTTATGACCCAGAAATCCCACTCGTAGGTATAAACACAAAAAAATTAAAAACAGATGTACCTACAAACACGCAGACAGGGATGTTGGCAGAAGCACGACTCGTCCACAAAGTGGCAACTGCCCAGAGAAGCATGAACCGATGAACAGATAAGTAGAATGTGATATAAGGATGCAGTGCGATGTTAGCCAGTAATAGGAAAAGAATTACGTAGTAATGCCTATTACACAGAGATGAACCTCACAAGTGTCGACCCAGTGAAAGAAGTCGGTCACAAATGCCTACATTCTCAGGATCCCATTTAAGTAGTCAGAATAGCCCAGTCTCGGGGACACACAGATTCGCGCTGGCCTGCGTCCGGAGGGAGAATGAGGAAGCGAGTGAGTTAGCGGGTGTAAGGTTTCTTTCTGGGATGAAAGTTTTAAAATTAGATTACAGTGATGTTTGCCAAGCCCTATGAGCAGTAAAATGTATTGAATGCATGACTTAAAGCAGTGAAATTCCCTGTACGTCAATTAAATCTCAATAAAGCTGTTCAAAAATGATTGAGTAGGCGCATTATCTGCACTGCACTGGGGCGTGCGGGACAAGGACAGGACTCCCCCAGCCTCTGTCGCCCTCGGGTTTACTTCCTCTTTCTGCTCGCTGTGTTCTCTGGCATCCTCTGTCCCGTGGCACGACACATTTCCCCTCCCTCTTCTTCGAAACTCTGTTCCTTACCTCCTTCCTCAAATTGTGTCTCATTCCTTGAATGATTTTTAAAGATTTATTTTATTTATTTGAAACAGTCACAGAGAGAGGTAGAGACGCAGAGAGAAAGGTCTTCCATCTGCTGGTGCACTCCCCAGTCGGCCGCAATGTCCGACGCTGTGTCCATCCGAAGCCTGGAGCCTCCTCCGGTCTCCCACGCAGGTGCAGGGGCCCAAGTCCTTGGGCCATCTTCCACTGCTTTCCCAGGCCACGGCAGAAAGCTGGATTGGAAGTGGAGCAGCCAGGACTCAAACCACCGCCCACATGGAATGCCGGCACTGCAGGCGGCAGCTTAACCCACTATGCCACAGCCACAGCACTGGGCCCCTTATTCCTTTCAAAGACCGTATTTCTTAAATCAAATATATGTCACTTGTACTTCAATGAATGAAGTTGAACCTTCCCATTTTTCCCTATAAAAGTCGAAAACCTACGTTTCCACGTTGCTTTTTCCTCTTTCTGGGTGTCTGGGATTGTTGCTCTAAAGCTTGGAGTGTAGGGGTGGGCATTGGAGCAGTGGTGAAGACCCACTCGGGACACCCGCGTGCCGTATCAGGGTGCCTGGATTCGCATCCTAGCTCTGCTTCTGATTCCGGCTTTCTGCCAGTGTGCACCCTGGAAGGCCAATGATGCCCCAAGCAGTTGGGAGACCCGGATGGAGCCCTTGGCTCCTGGTTTAGGTCGTGTCCAGCTTTAGCTGTTGTGGGGCATTTGGAGAATCAATCAGTGGATAGAAACTGTCTCTCTCTCTCCTCTCTCTCTCTCTCTATCTCTGCCTTTTTTTTTTTTTAGGTGAATTATTTCTTGTTTGAGGACAGGGAGAGTGGACAGTGAGAGAGAGAGA